CGGTTTTCTTCATCCTTCTAATGAGAGACAGACACCAAGTCGTGGGTTTCATGCTGCCAGCTCTGGGAAACCCCCCTCCAGCTCTTCGGACGCCGCGCCGTGCCACCAGCCAGCACAGCAGATCCCCTGGCAGCTCCCAGGGCATGCGGTGCCCCTAACAGCCTGACGGTTCACGTGCTATTGCTAAACCACTGTAAAACCCCGCTGTAAAGCAACCTGAATGGGCAGAAAATACAAAGCAGACCTGCCCTCCTGTTCAGCCTCGGAGAGCTGCCTTCAGAAAGGTCAAAAACCAGCCCCCTCGCCCAAAAGGAGTTTCAGATCCGCTGGGAGCCGGGCTGCAGCCCAGCCCTCTGCCCCGGCGCCCGCTCCAGCAGCCTGGAGCCAAATTAAGATGAGATAAAAAGCATCTCGCTCTTCAAGACTGATCTCCTCCTCCCCTCGCACCCCGAGGCAGCGGGACCCCCGCAGCCAGCCCAGCTCCATGCTGCTCGAGGTCTGGATCCCCGACTCCTCCGGGCGGGAGAGCCCAGGTTAGAGAGGGGGGATGCAGACGGAGAGGACTCTCCAGCTGCATCCAAACACCCCATCCTACTCGTGCTTGGCTGCTGAAGAGAAGCGGCAGCACCCACCTCAGCTTTGGCCCAGAAATTATCTTTATTGACTCTCTTGATTTCGGACATTGCATTTGTCTTCTGGTAGACAGAGCCCTGCGGGGAGGCAGAAGGCAGCACGTGTGAGCGGCAGTCACGGAGCAATCACAGGTTTTTTGCATTCCTCTGCAGAAATTTGTCCCCGCAACTTTCTGGCAGCTTTCTCCTGCTGCTTCAGGACCGGCCGGACCCTCTTTGCCTCCCCAGCCCCACGCAGCCACCGGCCAGCAGGCTGGGTTGAAAGGGTCAACGGAAGATATTTAGCACGGAGAATACAAGAAAGAGGCACTTTGTGATGGAATATAACAACAAAGCCAGTACGGTCTCACGTTCAGCATAGTCTGCGATGTTTTAGACCTTACTTTAACCTGATGCTTGCCCTCGGGGCTGGCTAAACCCCAATAACGTGCATCTTGCCAAAAACGGAGACTTCCAGCCTGGTTTTCCTCTTGCCTCAAGCACAAGTCGGGTTGTTAAAGCACTGGAGAGCCCGGACCGGAGCGGTCAGCAAAGAAGTGACCAGGACACACGGGAACCTGGCACTGCCCCACCAAAGCAGGGCCGGGGGGAGAG